GTCAAGTTGCACTTCATAGGCATCACTAGGATCTCACTCATGTTCTCTGGCTCCAGAATTACTGCGGTTGTGTTATCCTCTGCCTGGCTATGGGCAGGATGAAAACTCACTTCCCAAGGTGTCGTCTTCATTATTTCACTCTGGGAACTGAATCCAGATTTTTCCTGTGCAGGATATTAATTTGCCAGGCAACTTTAGGAAGTTGTGCTTTAACTCTGTATCACTTTGAAAAAGTTCTAAAATGTGAAATTAATTAATGGGAACCCTTCCCCACATTTTAATTATCGCAGTGTCTGCATAGCAATCTGCCTAGAACTTGGAGTTATACACCAGCCTGTAGCATCTTCTCCCTCCAGCCCCTTCATCCTAACTCTGAGCAGAACACTGCTCTTCATAGATGTTTAGTTTGCAGACTCGTGGTTTATAGCATCTTGCCTGACAGTAAAGCCATTTGTCATTATGATCAAGTTTAAAGTTATTATTAAATATGTTCTAGTCATTTTGTGTTGATATGCAGTATTAACTAGTTTCCATAGCTACAGCATGCAGAACAATTCAAGACTTTAGGGGCTTCCGAGAGTTCAACCCCAAGAGAAACCTACTCTTGAAAAGGCGATGGGATAGATAGGAAGAGATTGTGAAGTACAGAGTTAGATGCGCAGAGACAGTCAAGTGTATTTCACAGCTTTCAGAAAGCATGTTATCTGTTTGAAGTTCCATCTTTCAAACGCCCGAGCAATATTTACCTTGTTTTCCCTTGCTCATTAAAGTGTTCTATACCCTGTCAAAAGTGATTTATGGACTCTGTTGTATCACTAAATCTCATTACTGACTAACACTTCCTAGTAAGGGGGATGAGACGTCTTATCAGTAAAACACTGTACCGTAGCTACGCACTAAAGGAGGAATACAGTATAGGAGTATGTCTACAGTGTGGAATCGATGTGCCTGCAGTTTCTGTAGACTAGTCCTAAGACTGCCGGCTGGATAATGATGACGTGTCCTGTCACCTGCTCTGCAGCAGCAGAGCCAGCCAAGGACCGTCCATACCAACCTGCGCTGTAGTTCATCCAGTGTGCATCTAGCCAGCTCAGGACGGGCTACAGAAAACGCAGGCACAGCTCAGCTGAGCACAGACGTTCCTTCCACTGAAGGACATCCATTAATGTTACGTACATCTTTTGAATTTATTCACTGTAGGAGAATGTCCTGAAAAAGGAAGCATGTTTAAAAAAGATAATAAAAATACATATAAGGGAGTATATCCCCTTAATCAAAGAATGGAAAGCAAAGTAAGCTTTCATTCTTCAGGGTATAAAGTAGCCACTTAAAAACTTCCTCGTTCTTTCTGTTCTGATCATTCCTCAACAGACTGTTATTTTACCTCCTTTTTCAAGCATTACTACAGCCACTGGCAGAATGAAGGTAGCGGGATGGATTGTAATTAATTCCCAATTCCGTGCTTGTAAAAGTGTGATGTTTTTCATCCTTCTTTATGATCTTCTAAATCCAACAGACTGTAGGTTAGAGATTACTAGTCATGTAGTAAGGCTCATTTGAAAACCACTGTAAGTGGATCCAATTACTATGTAACTCAGTTTTGACAACTATTCTTTACACTGGCTTACACAGCTACACTGTGAATACTGTAATGGAAAAATTAATTCTGAGATGGGAAGGCCTATTAAACCAGATTGTGTACATGGCATGAAAAACCAGCCACAATATATTAACTGCCACTGGGCAATCTTGACTGAAAGAACTGTTCATTGCTATTCTGAACTTAGTGCTACCTGGAGCAAAGTGTCTATTTACATACTTATAATGTAACAGCTTCTGACCTTAATTCTTTTCTCCATGCTTTCACTGCAGTTACATCCTTGCCCTGGGGCCCGCAGGTACCATGCTCTCAGGTATGTGCATTATTCCACCAGCAGCGGTGAGTGTTGGTCTACAAATTCTCTGCTTCCTCACAAATGAATTTGCATCTCAAACTATTGACTGTTCAGATGGAAAGCATTGCAATCTGTTTCCCCAGAGGGCTTGTCTGCACTAACATAACTTGCCCCGCATATAAACAAAATCACTAGGATAACATTTTTCAAAAAGCAATTTCAAACACACAAAAAAGTTAAGAACTCCATGCATCTTTTAATACAGGTTTATTGTTAAGCTGAAACCTTGTCTGACAAGTGTCAGCCCTGAGCTACTTTTGTTAAAAAAACCAACCAAAAGCTACCCAAACAAAACAAAAACTCACAGAGTTGACTACAGACTTTTAAGGGAGATACTGATGGATGCCTCAACTATTATAATTAAACTCACGCTGGAGGTTTTCATAAGCAGAATAAATGAAAAAAAAGACTCCCCTTTTCTGAGGAGCGATATTCAGAATAGACTGTGGCCACAAAGGCACGAGAAAACAGGTCTTGCTGTACTCTTGAAAGATCCGCAGTTATATGAGCAATGCATCCACCTTATAATCGCAAATGAAACACAAGGTCCCAGGCAGCTATTCTTCATACATGATTAGATTATAGCTTGCACAGGCATTGTAAGGCACAGACTTATTCTTTTCATAAGTCTTTACCAGTAAAAGTACCGAACTTTAATCAGATAGATACCTGCTCTCACATTGAACAAGTACTTACTTTTCAATGTTGTGCTTTGAATTTAAGACACCTGGAACGTCAGAGGCTTAGAAACATCCATTGGGGTGACTCCTGTCAGATCTTTCTATTGCATTGGAACAATCTAAGAAGTGAATGTAACTAAATTCAGGCTGTACACTTCAAGGTATTTCATTAATGAGGTGCAGTGCTCAGTCACAAAGTTAATTGATTAGTCTTATTCCTGTGACTGGAGTGGAAACAGTAAAAGATAAGACTGGGAGGAAGAATCAGCTAAGCCTTTGAGTCACAAAAAGGCCTTATCCCTTTGATGAGAAGTGTCAGATTAATCTTCATAAATGGTCATAATTACTTGTGCCTGGAGCTCAGCCAAGTCATTCCAAATAAAAATTAAATTATGCAAGTGATTGCATGTTCAGTCTCATCTCCAGAGTGTTAGAACCACCACAGCCCTACAGAAACATGTAGAAATTTACTGTATGCTTCAAACAGGGTAAAATACATTTGCTTAAATATTGAGTATGCTAACCTAGTATTTATTGAATATATTTTTCCTTAAATAACAGTTTCACTAAAGCTTGCCTACACAGACTGTCACAGTTGCTGTTAGACCCCTAGATTCTTTGGTATCTGCAGATTACTGTCCATTCTTCATTAAACTCAGTTTCAACTCTAATCAAATCAGCAGACCCATATCAGATGGGAAATTTATGAATGCTGTTGAAAAATTTTAGATCTTGCGGGGGGGAAGTGAAATCAATTAAGTTCACTTACCGGAAAAGGCACACAGGCACAAAAGCTGATAACATCTAACACCAGAAGTAACACTCCTTTTGGGGGTTCTGAGAACAGTACTAGTCCTTCAGAAAAAGGAAAACTTCTAAAGCAAAATCTTCATAAATCTAGTAGATTACTACCTAGTGGGCACAACCCAGCTCTCTCTCGTGTTAATATATGTACTTTGGAAATTAATGAAATAAGCATGAAACACTACAGATTCATCCCCATATCAGCAGTGCATGATTGAAACAGCATACATTCAAGAAAGAAATTATTTGGTCCCTGTATGCTCCTTATGCAGCTTATACCATCTTAATATTAGGCTTTTTTAGCTGGTTATAAATGGGATATTCCAGAAACACAGCATATGGAGCTTTTAAAACAAAGTTAGAAAAGGAAACTAGCTTTTCCTCATATGAGATTTTGCTTAATTATTTTCTTTAGTTTTTCCAATTTTAAATCACACGAAGTAATGCAATAGCTGAAGCATCTTCACTGATTTATCTTGGCAAAGACAGGTCAGCTTGCATATTATCTGACAAAAATAATAGGATGCCAGTGCACATTTAGAAATCTAATAGGATTCCACTGTATATTTAGGAAATAAAGGCCAAGAACAAAATATTTGTAGTATCATTTTATTCACCTAGAAACAAAGGGTCAAAAGTCACAGCATGGAAGTTCATTTTATTTTGTAAACTCATTAAAAAGATGTCCATGTACAAAAGAAGGACATTTTAACAACATAATGCAGACAAAGGAAACTATAAAAATTCAACACATTAATAAAAATGCTGAGTTTTTATTTTCTTTCTGCATAATTCCTTGCATCTTCCATACCAGCCTGCACACAATCTTAAGTACAATTGTTAGAATCATTAAAACTCAAGAGGCTGAACACAAAACCATTTGCTCTGCTATAGGAATGTGTTGCTGAAAGATACAAACCCTGTAGCATGTTAGCTAGAAGTAAGACACAAGACTGAAGGAACTGGCTGAAAGGCTTCTAAATTGTTATTGCGCATTCATCTTCTGAGAATTCAATCTCAGTTTTCAGCAAATATTTAGAATATTCCTTAGGGAAGTAACAGCGTTAGATTGAACAGTCCTTTGTCAAAAGATGTATGTTTCCATATTGTCCTAATACATCTAATGAAGACTCAAAAATAAAAACATTTTGATGTAAAACCATTTCAGTCCCAACAAGTGTTCACTGTGCACCAAAACTTACAGCAGCTATACGACAAGCTACTGTGACACATAATCCAGTCTTCAGTATTGGATACTCTTGGCTGCAAGTCCGGACTTAAATCCTTGAGACACTGCCAGTGATAGGTCAATTATAAAACTACATTTCTTTTGAATCTGAGCTAGTCTGCAGTTTAATTTGTCCCTGTTTCTCCCCCAAAAAATGACTCTCAGGATTGAAAATTTATTCTTGTAACCACTACTTGAGGTTTCTGTAAAATATTTTCTTTCCTATGTCCTCAATGTAGGCTTGAGACTGTTGAGTGTTTCTCTTGATCTGCCGTTCTTCACTAAGCAGAGTTTTTCACTTAGGAATAATCCATGTCACATGTGACTTGTTATACTCAATTTCCAAGTGTAAGTGTCCCAACTTTCAAGAGTTAAGTAAACATCTCACGATTAACAAAGAGCAACTTGAATGCCTAGAGTTAATACACCTCCAAGATTTGTGTTTGTCCTCCGCCAGGACGTAGTGCAAGAAATGAGCCCCACCAACATAAGGCACTTACCTACGTTACACGAGAGGGGGCAGGGGCGAGAACTCCTGTAACATGCAAGTCTAGTAAGAGTCTCACTGGAGAAAAACATAAGATCTCGCAGGCTCAGGGTGCACTGCCACTTCATTGTGTACTGCTGTAACAAAGTCTGCCCTGTAACAGATATCAGATCCTCCCATTGGCAGCCATTTCATTAATCTTCGATTTTTGATGATCATATTTCACAGAAACAATAAGGAAAAGCAAGAGGGTTGCTCCTTGGATAGCAGCCAGCAAAAAAAAATAATAGTTTAATTGGCAGCCATTAATATTACCTAGAAAGAATTGGGGAGAAAAAATAAATGTTAATAAAGATTATACAAATAAAAAGGTCGATCCCTTCAAGCTTACGTAGTGAAGACTTTTCTGGAAAACATGGGCAAAACCAAATCAAATCCCATTTCCATCCAACAGCATAGTTGCAAAATTTTTAATTTTCCAGAGCAAAAGATGGAACTTCTGAGAAGATGCACACAGTACAAGAATTGCTTTCTTTTGTGCTTCAATGCCTTAAACCAAGTGATGTCCCTGAAGAAGGGACATAGGCTGTTACTGCATGATTTCTTACTTACAAATAATTGCTGGAAGCTCCTCCTACCACTGTAAGAATTTTGTGCAAACAAAGACTATGCACATACAGCGGTCAGCATGCTTCATGAGAATCAAAACAATTTTAAAGGGCTAATAATCTTCCTTTCTTCCTCCTTGCCCCCTCACCCCACCCTTTTTTTGTTTTTTTAAAAAAAAGGCTGGTTTCTTATACTGCAAAATTGCAACGCTTTGCTCACTTCAGACAGCCAAAAACCTCAATGTATATATATTTCATGTATGATTTACTCTCTTTGTAATGTCAGTAATAGAGATCACTTATCAATTTTTGAGGAGACAACTTATTTCAAAAGCAAAAAAAGACAACATCGCTGTGCTGTGGCCAGTAAACGGACTTGAAAAAGAAATTTCTGCAAATAAAGCCCTAGACTGTAAACTGTTCAGAGACAGCTCCCAGTGAAATGCAGCATTCAAGACTGAAGCAAAGCTACACTCATAGAGGCTAGTAACTTAAAGCCTTTACCAGCTTCACTAGATATGCTTTTAAGGAGCCTGGAGAATACAGTGAAGTGATAAGGCTTTAGTCAAGGAAAAAAAAAAAAAAAGTCTCTTATGTTTTACAGCTTAATTGAAACAGGTGAAAGTATGATTTTTTTGTACTATATATATTAGAGAGCCTTCTCCAGCGGCCTTTTCATCCCTGCTTAATGCTATATGGTCTCTCTGCATCTGGAGGCCTGTACCTCCCTTCTCTGCTAAGTCAAAGATAAAATAAAAAGAATAAAAAAATGAATGCTATTAAGGAAAAAGTTTGGCAACTCTGTAGATATAAAGAAAGCAACTACTGAGATTTTCTCTCAGCCTTCTTTTGGAACAAAGCTTAGAATTCATGAAACCATACGTGGTTTCTTTTTGGTTCAGTTCACCTTCAACACTCCCTGAAAGTTGTTACAAATTAGTGATTTGTACCACATTAAATAATGTTAAATTAAGAAAGCTCATTGCTAAAATATTATTCCTCTATTAAGAAATGTGCACTAACTATTGCTGTACTTCCAAGAACAATATATTGTGGCTCATTTCCAACATGCCACATGAGCCACAGCCAATTGGACCATTATGATTATCAAAAAGGTTAGAGAGAGTAAAAATAGTCAAGTATACATCGATTCTAACAAGCTGTTCATGCAGCATGCCTATAAATGTTCAGATTAAATTACTTTAATTACTGAAACTTAAGATTCAATTAAATGAACTTATAATAAAATGCAGTAAAATTAAACAGAGTCTTTCCTTGACATTTAAAATACAATATACATGTGAATCTCCATTTCAAGAGCAGACGTGTTTAAAGAGTAGTAATTATCCTTTACGAGATGGGATATTAAACCCATGAAATCTCAGTTTTTGTCAGACAAATAACAGTCATTTCAATGGCAGCAATCAACGCTGAAGTGCCAGCAGAGAGTGAATTTTCTCAGTAGACTTTGGAGGCAGTCAGTTACCTCAAATGATATAATGAGTTAGCATAAACAGAAGAAACTTAGTGCATGCATGTGCTTATAGTTTTTATACAGAATCTAATGAAAAATTCAGAAATCATTCATTCATAAAGACTCCTCCTTACAATTCCTACCCTGGAAGACCTAAGCAAATTTTAGATATGAGTTTGTTAACTTTCAATAATGTTATATCAAATGAAAATTGACTTATAAGCAGTTACTCATATAAACAGTTAAAACAGCAGCTACTGTGGCTGCTACAAATCAAAATCACCCACTGAGCGCTTCAACCTTGAGCCAGATGCACAGCTGCTGAGAAGGCCCGATTGTGTATCGAGTCTTTGGACTAAGAAAGGTAGACATACCCAGTTCTGACAGCTGTCCAAAGGACAATCCACAGAGCTGAGTAGCCTATTCAAAAGAGATGACCAATGACTCATGAAAGGTAACATCTTCCAGTTCTAGCCGACTCTGGATATATTTAGCACAACCTAAATATTTTACAGAGACAATATTAGGCGCTGTCTTCTCTTAGGCAGCTTCAGAAAACAAAGGCAAGAGACTAAAAACCGCACCATCAAATAGCACATATTTGTATGAAATTATTATCCTCCTATTGAGCACTTATCAACTAACTATCTCTACACAGAATTGCAGAAAAAGATGCTGTTCTAATTTTGAAATTGACTGGGGAAAAAAGTCTCTATTTGATTAAATTTTCATTTGGTGAGGACACTTCCATTAAGTTAAGGATATTTGTCATCTCTTGCAGTTTTTTAAAGAACAGCTTATAAACCAAAGATGACAACTTGTGACACATGTACTGTTCCAGACGACATTACCTTTTGGTAGCATGCAAATCAAGCTTAAATGGCAAATTATCTCATACCAAATTTAAAGTAAGTTCAGACTGCACTTTTAAGCCATGCATACCCAGTAGGTCTAGCATACATTTTAAGAACTTTTCACACTCCTTCTGTTGGAACTAATTAGCCCATTGATGATGGTATGATTTCCTGAAATTCCCAAGGTGCCACCTACTGGTGCCAATAATTATTTTTAACTTCAACTGGCAATACAAAGCAGACGATACGTTAGACTTTTTAAAGAGTATAAATAACTAGCAGACAGAAATGCAAAATGAACTCATGGTAATTTCCATGAAGTCTCCTGAAACTAGGAAGCTGAATAATCACTAAGAGAGAGATGGATACATTTTACTCCCCATAACCACAGAAAGTAATTTCAATACTTTATACCAAATATATTCTTCTTCCACACATAATTCAAATACTTTTTACTAAAATATGAAAATTTCTAAGTAATTTCTAATGATGAAATGGAGTAAGGGCTTGGCAGGTAATTGACAGGCCTTACAGAGGCAAAACACCACATGCACATTTCCCATGCTTTCATGAGGACCGTGTGTCATTTTGAATAGTCCCATTACTTCATAGTTACACGCAAAATGAAACTTTATCTTTAACAAAACAGTAGACAAATTATACTTTTAAAATAATAACCGTGTTAAGATTCAACAGTTCCACATGCTTGATATTTAACTGCTTCTGAAGGAAGCCTTCTCCTTTATAGACTATGAATACAGTGAAAATAACTTACCAAAATCCGTGTGATTACTCATCCAGCCAATTTCTTTAATAGACACCAGTGCCAACAATCCAGAGCCAACAAATGATCCAATCCCCGAAAAGAAAAAAAACAGCCCCATGATAGCACTCTGCATAGATTTGGGAGCAGCTGAATATGCAAATTCTAGACCTGTATTAAAAGATTAAAAAAAATGCTAATGTTATAAAAGTTACAGAAGTTTACTACTTCTGGTATGTTAAAGACCTAAAACTAGCCTTGTATTTCAGGAAACACAGATTTGAGGTAGTCAATCCCTATCAGTTCCCAGTTTCCTCTAATTGCTTTATGAACCCTGTTAAAGGTCATCAATATATCAACCCATTAAATGGACAACATTTGAGACATGCATTTGATCTTAATATTACATGTGTAAAATCAAGAAATCTTCTGAGGCAGCATATTCATTTTCTGTCTAAAATTATCCTCAGAGAAATTTATTAAATTAACCTGGCAAGTTCCATTTTCCCCATTTTACTCGTTTCTATATTGCCTATCTGTTGTGCAGTATTTACAAAGCACATGGCATTCCCTGCTGAGAAGGGAACTGAAGATCACTCTTGCATTGACCAAGAACATTTACTTTGCACAGACTCAGTGTATCTGTGAATGTGCAGACAGAGAAATTAATTGTAGCTGGAAAGGCAGTAATTAGTTTTAATTTAATTTTGATCTAGAATTCTCTGAGCCCATTGCTTGCTGGCCTATTCTTTTTAAGGCTTGTAGAACTGCAACTTTAAACTATCCTCACTCAAATTTCAACCAATAAAACCAAGAAAAACATACCAGTGACATCAATTTGAAAATCTGTGCTACTGCCACAGAACACACTGGGTTAGGCTCATCAGAGACTAATGCCCATGATTAACTCTCTTTTTTACAATAATACTCCTGTCAAAAATCAAATGGGATTAATCACAAGAGACAGTCAAATACATTCTTTACAGAGCTTTTCTCTGACAGGTGAAATGCTTGTTTCAAAACAGTCTGCTTCATACTGAAAATTAATATTACCTCACCTAACATTTTTCTTGGTAAAGAGAGCATTATAGACCTGGAAATGGCACAAATCTTATGTCTTGCATAATAAAGGTATGCTTTATTTTCACCATTACTGGTACTTGACTTTTGCTACTCTAGACAGAGTTTAATAGAAATACTCTGGCATTTCTTTTCAAGAAAAGGCTTAACACTTCAAGCCAGATAGGTCAATTTGCCTGTTGTGAGGGACAAATTTTATTCTTGTAAAAGAAACAGAACTATATGTTCTGACTGATCTAACAGCATTCTGCATTGCCACCTGAGAAATCTCTGATAACCAACCCACTGCTTCTCTTTTCCTCTGCAAAACACATTAGAATGGGCCAACAGCAACCTGTCTGTCATTCTAGAAGGGAACTGAAACATTCTTCATGCAACTCAGCTGTGTGGGTTCCTGTAAATTCAAACCGTAACAAGACAACAGCTACAGAGATGGAGAGACATCTGCAAATGAGAGGCGAGGGGGGGAAAATTATATATATTTTGAGAATTAAAACCAAATGTTTTTCCTAGGCTTTGCCACTAATATAACAATTTAGATTTTTCAAGGACTACTTACCTGGCCAATCTCACTTAAATTAAAAAAAAAAAAAAAAAGACTACTGTCAGGATACAGCAGCTTGTATTTTAACCTCTTGTGAAGTTATCATAGCTACCACGAGTCTGCAGAGTATCAGTCACATTTTGGTCACTAGGCTTTTGTACATTCTGGACAAGTTAAGCTCAAGTATATAACATGAAAGGATCTGGCCCATTTCTTCTCTTGCTCATTTTACAGATATACTGGATGCGAGTATTACTGCTGGAAAAAGATCTTAAGACTCAAAACAAAACCCAAAATGTGTGTAACACTATGCACTTTTTGCAACAAATTAAAGCACGTTTCTAAACGTGAGTAATGTTTCCAGCAACCCTAATATTTAAACTGCCATAAAGAATATAAAATCTTTTCCTTGCCTTCAGAGATAGTTTTGCCTGCTGGCAGCCATTGATAACAATTTCATGCTACCTCCTACAAGCAGTTTTGAAATTAAACCCTCTAGTTGGTGTTGTCATGTGAGATTATGATTCTGAGTTAAGTAAGGGCGCCTTAAGAGGACTGACAGAATAATACAAAAGATAAATGCAATTTGTGTCATCTTTTTAAAGGTACCTCAGGTGTAACTAATGTGGCTTAATAAGAATATGCTTGGTTTTTACAGTAAACAAAAAAGAAATGTGTTTCTGCTCTTATATTGAGTCCCTTTTTGTTCACAATAAACATTTCCAAATCACTATAGTTTTGTAACCATTAACACTTTGCTTATTTTAAAGCTGAATTTCATAGCACAATAGATGCCTTTATCAACTTTTAATATCAAATTGGTAAAGTATATTCTATAACATCTTGAGAGGCCTTCTTAAAGATACTAAGAATTCAGTTTAGATAATAAAACAGAGGCAGGGAAAAATGCTTTGTAAAACAAATGAAATGAAAGTGTAATACACAAAGCAATTAAGATCTGCATAGAATTTCTGGTTCAAAGAAAGAGAAGCCTTTGCATTTTTCCTAACATTGACCAACAGTTTTGGAAGTTATAAAGCTGTTGGTACAGACCCAGCAAATGCAGAACAGCAGCATATTCACATAAGAATAGCGTAAGCCTTAAAGACTTTACTTCTCAAGTCCACTAAAGCAGTTGAAAAATAGAACCCACAGACTGGAGTTCAACAGAGAACACATCAAGTCCTCGACCTTTCCCCAAGCTGCAGATAGGTTTGTTATTTTTTCCTTGCAAACACCTACAAACTAGTAACAGTGCCTGACAGAGAAACAAGAATGTGTAAGAGGGAAAAAATGTCTTTATTTTTGCATGAACACTTGCATTTCTCATAAGTTATCACTAAAACTGTAACTAAGGGTAAGCAACTCATTCTACTCTTTTGTTAAAAATGCTAAATACAGCCTTAGTTTTAATAAGTAACTCAATTCGGGGAGATGTCCATCTTCAGATTTTGATGTGTCAGGATTTGTGACGGGTACTGTTCACAAATAACGAAATGTACTGTAATATAGAACAGCAATGACTATGCAGATATGTCCTCTAGCAAAGGACACATATTGACTGCACTGCTAAGGCATGCTTTCCATTTTAGAATCTTAAGTGTTTAGTATCTTGGGTCTTAGTGAGCTTTAAAGATAATGAACTTACTAGTTGTTACTGAAGCAAATTAATTCAAGGACTTGCCTATACATCACTGGGGGTGGGGGATGCGGAAACCACAAGATGAACCAGGCATGGGACCCTTATCAGGCATCAGACAATGGCCTCAAACCTTCAGCCATATGACGCTTACAGGTTCATCCACAATACTGACTGCTGCAGTACAAACAGCGAAGAACTAGGATTTCAGCTCGTGCAATCCAGCGGGACCTTATGTCCAAATTTTGTGCTTACTGTCACAAGAGTTAGTGCTAGGTGCTGGTTTCCAGGTACATGCCATGTGCACGCATAGGGCTAACTGTTTGTTGGAGGACCCTGCGTTCACATTGCAGATGGAAAACTCCCAACAACAACCTGGTGTGAGATATCAGCCTACCGTCCACCAGAGAGGAAATAGTACACTGGTGGTGCATTTAAATGCATACTGCAAAACTACAAATACACACAAGACAAAGCCATACCTAAAAAGAATTTCTCCAACATACTAAATAACTAAGGTAGAGTTTAATATGTAATGGATATGTCTAATTCTTCCAGTCACATGAAATCACAGGCCAGACAGCTGGAAGAAAAGCTTAGAGGAAATGAGCAGATAGGGAAAAAACCCCAAAAAACCAAAAAGCCCACCCAAACCAACATTTTCTTCTACCTGCCAAGCAATCCATCCACCTTCTTTTATTTCCTAACTGTGATGACAGTAGAACACATGTAACCAGAAACCTGATACAGTAGTTCTCTGTTCCACTAAGAGGGGAACAAATGGGCCATGTGACAGCTGGGGCTACCGCCAGCAAGATCTTACAGAATCAGAGAATCTCATTTTACCACACTGTGCTTGCCCAGCGTGAGGAATGAAAGTAACCTCCTACAGGGGAAATGAAAGCAGGACATTCTGTCATAAGCAATTGAAGAAAAAGAGCTATATGCAATGCCAGTTTAAATGGATGATCTTCAAAGTTCAATACTCTGAAACAGTATTTCAACACATTAATAAGTAACTATAGTTAAGCAAATACTAAATTATTTTTAAATCAAGTCACTGGAGGAGTTCCAATATATTACATCAGGTAGCTCTGCAATTCTATTTAAGTAGTATCAAAATAGCTACTTCTATGATGGTGAAAGGTTTCTGTTACTGGTAACCAAGCATTGCTACCAAGCACTAGATACGTAAACACTGTGCTAAGAGATTCACAATAGCATGTCAGTTGTTTAATCACAGCAAACCAGTGTTAGGCGTACCACAGTGACAACAGATAAATTGCCTGTGCTTTCTTCCTGCTAATGAGCCCTGCATGTATACGAAACAGACCACAAAATAAGATTTTATAGTCCTACTCACCCTCTCCTCCCACTTCACTTTCAGCTTAAAAATCAATATGATCACACAGCTGTCCACTGCATCACATGGAACAGTATTAAGATATCTAAGATCTCTTGCATTTGTTCAAGGAAAACAAGATTTGAACAATGTTTCGGTTTGCCTAGTATCATGTTGAAGTGCAAAAACTACAGAAAAACTGATCTATAAATAAAGCAGATAAAACTGTAGAAAAAAATAGCTACTTCATTATTAATATTCACAAAACACTAGCTTACACTGAGTGTCACATAACTTCTTATTTCAGAGATGTAAAAACTCAAGTAACATGAATTTAAACTGGTGATAAATCTTTCTAAAGATGGCTTATTTCTTACTTTTTCCCCTCAGAAAAGTGTTTCCACTTACTAATTGACTTTCTAAACTGCAAGCTCAGTTTTTAAGCCAAAAAAATTACAAAGCACAAATTTTATTTGGAACACAGAGGAAGATTCAGAGGAAACAATACTGCATTAAACCTATTCTTTAAAATACAATATTGAAAGAGTATATTGTTTTCCATTAGGACTTGCAAATATCCAATGCTAACTGGATGACACACAAATATTTATTTAAATGTTGCTCTGCTTGAAATTCAGTCTTGAAAACATATTATAATATATCCAATTTTCAAATGTGAAAGACAATTGTGTGCTTTGCCACTTAAGTTATATTAGATGATATTGTATTTGGGAACATTAGAGCTTATTTATAATGATTCGAGAGGTAAATATTTATTTTCTAAGAATCCATCATTTATGATAGATACAAAAGCAGATTTAAAACACACAAAGACTCTTACCTGCTATACTTGCAAATATTTCACTGAATCCAATCAGGACATATTGAGGAATCTGCCACCATATTGGCAAATCTGCAGCATGGTATGTAACATTTCCAATTGTCTGATTAATTGTTTTAACCTTTACAATTTTCAGTCTGTTGCTTTCCAGAATTCCTATATGGAGGGGGGGGAAAAAAAGATTGACCTAAGATGCAAACACTGCTTCTTCATACTAAGAACTAAATAGGATTCAATCCTGCATTGCAATTAGAAATTATAAAATAGGAGTATGTATTTCCTTATTTCCAAACATAAAGCATTTCAGACTACTTTTGCTATTGTTATTTCAAGACATACAGTTCCTCTGCCACAGAATTAGTGATTATATTCTTATTCAGTAGCAATAATTATAAGAACACTTAACCCTTTTCCAGATGGATTAGCTGAGAGCTTTCTCATACAATGTTGTTGGTTTTTTTATAGACAAATCCATTTTCACAAACTACTACTTTGCAGCGTTGAACCATTGCAGCTGCCACCATAGCATTACTAAATTAGAAACCATTTTGCTTATTGAAATGGCTACACTAGTCCTGTAGAACTATGAAAACCCTCTATGAATATGATCTGGCATTTATATGACACTTATCATCCCAAGAGATCCAAAAGCTCATTAGAGCTTGATTTACATGCAGTACCCTGCATAGAAAGCACCTCATGTAGAATGAAAAATGGACATGATAGTGCAAAATATAACATTTTTAGCTTGCTCAATACAACAGTTTAGAGTAGAAAGTGAATATCAAATAAAGCTGTTGAGTTTTTGTTGAAGTTGCCCAGATTAAAGGATTTGCTTCACTGTTACATAAAATGCACAAAATAGCTCATAGTTAATAAAACTCCCTGCTTCACCCAGAAAGGACCTCTACAGAAGAGCTCTCAATATCCTTGGAAATAAGGTGGATTTATTCATCACCAATTCAGAGCAGCAAGGCTGAGTCAATGACACTACTCCCTATAATACGTTACACACACATGGCCTCCCATTTAGTGCCTGTCAGTTTCAGTCTCCTTCTACTTATTGAGCCAAGATCTGACCTAATCTTGGGGCACAAAATATCACTCCGATTGCAAAAAAAAAAAAAAAAAAAAAGAAAATTGTACAAGGCTTAGATGACAGATACAATGCTTCATGGATATCATACTATGTACAAGTGATTACATCGGCTTCCTCACTTCTAGCTTTTTGTTTCCTAGAGGCTGACATGGACATTTAATATGATGTTGACGGAAGTTATCGACAGCACTTTTCATATAAACAAGTACAAGAAATTTCTAATGCACAATTTAATATCTGTTCTCCTGTTTCTTCCCAAATCTTTGACATACAAACCTCGAGGGCCCAACCAAATCACCATCTCTCTAAGTGACAGCGTTCCAAGGGAAAGGCCTGATGTTTGCCAAAACCACCTCATACTGCCACATACAGTTTCTTATTAGTCCTGGTCGTGGCAAGAGACCCAAGCTGGGAAGAAAGCATGAGGAAAGATCCCTGTAGTCTCTATATATAGTCTGCAGTTGAGGCCATAACTAATCAAGAAGTTCTAGAAATCAAATGCTTAAGAATAACACTGTATTTCATCATTGTAGGAAGTTAGAGCCAGAGCTCTGAAAACCAGACTGAGGGAACACACATTAATAAGTGACTTACAAAGTAATGTGAAAAGGACGGAAAGCTGCATTTGCATAACCCATGTCTATTCATTCACAGCAGTTCAGAATCTAGTCAAGTACAAAATAGCTCCACAGTCTAATCTTCTGAGACACAAGAGTTGTGGAGGGAAAACAGGTTAGAATTACTCAAGTTTGCTTAAATGATACCCTGAGGCCCCAAAATGTTTCTTAAAAAGTGTTTTCCATAATGACATCTGTTTTTGAAGGAAAGACTGTTCTGAACTTAGTACCTCGTAGTGCCAGGCCACCACATTTTCTCTACCTCCATCAGTTCTTTTTAGGTGACCACTTACCTATCTTATTTTTAAGCTTCTGTCTTTAGCTCTTCAACCACCTCAGTGCACTTTGAACTATGAAGAGCTGATGTAATTAAAATAAGCTGGATTTTTTGATGTTTTGGTTTTAATACAGCTGACAAACATTTTGGAGTGGAACTTAATTAAAATGTAAACATAGCAGTACAGTCAGCTGAGAACTCAGACATAATTTCATTCCTATACATTCAACACAAACTTATTGCACCTCCAAACATGTAGCGTTTGATAATGTGCTTGATATTCTTCCCAACATAAGCAGATGTAGGAGGCACTTAGTCACACAGCAGCATAACTACCATATACTAAACTTTCCCATAATTTTATCTTCAAAGCTGAGTACTTCAGAATCCAGATTCTATTGATTCTTTCTTAGACTTTGATAGACAAACTTCAAGTTTAATATTACAGTTTTAGTAGTTAAAAGAATCTTAAGTTACTGCTATAATTGTTTAAATTCTACAAATGAAGTAGATTTTCCAGTTGAATAACCTTAAATACCGCTGCTCAGAATTTATGATAAAATGCATGAAGCACAGCAGATGTTCATTAAATCTAATCAGTTGTATTCTCACACAGTTTATTAGATATTTAAAATAATCTAAACAATCTAATAGGCAGCCTAAGTAGCGTCCAGAACTAATGCCAGTTAGATAAGTAAGTTAAAATGGACATATGGCAAAAACGAATCATTAATAAACTTCTAAGATTGCAAGTTAAGATACTAACATCTTCATACGTTTAAGATTTTAATCAGAATCTCTCTCTAAGGCAGAAATGGTTGGAAGTAATGTTGTATTTTAAGAATATTAAAATATGGCTTCTATAAACATAATTTAATGAGAAAATAAAAATTTTATGAAACATATAAACCAACAGAAGCTTTCCCCCCCACTAGAAATAAACAGAATTTCCTATGCCCCAAATTATTCGCAACTGAAGCTCTTGATTTCATGTTATGACAAAGGGATGTTAAGGTACTCCAAAAGGTTAAACTTTCCAACCAGACTGCAGGTAAACACCCAAAGACTTCACCTTCTCATTTCTACTGTAGAAGAGTTAGGGGAGGATCAAGCCAACAACATCATGCATTACATTTGTAGGTGAACAGAAAACAAGAAGGCATTTGCAATTTTTAAGAAATCTGCTATATGAAACCATTCACCAACTCAGCTATCATAGCTCGATATGCCTTTTCCCCCCAGTACTAATAAAGACAGATATTGCTGGGTTTGAATTCACTTATATGTGAGCCAGCAGGTTCTATTTAAAGACCTGACATTTAACTGTTTTACATCATCATCTTTTGCTGGTAGCAGTGTCCTAAGAAACATGGAATAAGAGAAACATTCCTATTTTAAGTTGAAATGACTTTGCTTTAAGAACTTTACTTGCCCACATACAAAGTGACCTTGGCCTAATAAGGTAATTATCTCTCTCATTGAGAGAAATCTTAATAGCCGTATAAAGTGTCCCTTTCTCTAAAATATAGGAGATTACAAGTGCTGAAATTAATTTATTTAATGCTATAATGCTTTATCAATATGTTCATTACAGTGATACTAGGTGAAGGCTATAGGTTCTATGAAGCATTGCTCAGAGCTATTCAGTTCCACATCAGCAGTGCTTAACAACTTTAAATCATCTCAAAAGCAGCTGATTTATGGTTTGAACAGAGTTGCCTTCTTTTTCCTTTCATGCTAAGGCTAAGCTATTTTACACTACAGTAATTCCCAAACATTAGGGAACATTAAGGTAGGGGAGAAAAAACCCAAAGTGGGAGGAAACTCTTATTCAGCCATAACCTAACTTTATTATTTCAGATGCAGGGAAAGGATTTTAGGTAAAATTTCACTTTTTTAATACCTGGAAGTCAGGCTATATGAAGGAACGTGCTTATTTCTGAACTAATTTGTTTTTCAGGATAAATAAATTTTCAACTTCCCAGACAAATGGTTGATAAATCAGACAACATGGACTTCCACAATACCATAAAATTTATTTCAGGAGGACAAACAGCCTTATATCCAAATGCTGGACACTTTGTTCAAGCAACCCAAACCTTGATCGTGAAGTTAAGCTGTTTGTTGAGAAAATATGGTCAGAAACCAAATAGTTCTCTACCAAGCACACTAGAAAGTAACATTGTATGTGAAAACCTTAACTAAGAAATTGGTTTCAAAAGGTATACTTGAGGTCTGTTTCAGGTAGGAAAAATGGTCCAATTTTATTGGAACCATTCAAAACAGTTTAGTAAGTTTTTGAATAAAATCTCTTTCATTCTGGGAAATGCATCCATGCAGTTGCATTCTAACTAGCCCTTGAAAAACACTTCTGAATAATCTTGAATTCAAGATTCACAAAGGTTTTTGTAAAAACCCTGTTGTCAGTAGCTGAATAAACAGCTATGTAAGTAGATCACACGGTAGTTTTTCTTACCTGCAGCAAACGCAGAACACATTACAAAGAACATTCCAACAGCAATTCTCTTCAGTGAGGATGGGAGCAGGCCATTCCTCTTCAAAATGGGGTCCACCAATTTATCTTTTAAGGGTATTAGGATCAGAATGAGCACTGCATCAAACATAGTCAACCAGGCTGCTGGAAACTGAAAGGATAGATAGATGACTTAAGTTAGCAATTTCATACTGAAGGGTTGATTTTTATGATTATTTAACAAAGGAAAAAATAAAGGAAAAAATCTTTTCCATGAAACACCGAGTTCCGAAACAAACCACAGTACACCGATAAACACTGGGAGAAGAAAAATAAGAGTGTGTAAAAGCTGAGGAAAACAAACACTCAGCTAGTCAGGTTTTCATTTAAGTTAGCAGTTCATAATTCTGTTACCTCAGAAGCACAACTGATTCCTCACCATAGTAACTCCAACAGTATGATATTCTCGCTTTTCAAGATGCATCTCCAGCTGTGCTGAGGTGGGTGTTGGGTAGGGTTTTTTTTTTTTGGGGGGGGGGAGAGGGGTGTAGGAGCTTTCTGCTGGAACTGAAGAACATTACATGCTCAGAGCAAAAAGGTTCTTTACACAAAAGTAAATAATGCTGCACATAGTTCCAAGGAAAATGAGGAATAAGAAATTGCTGGGCAGATGAAGAGAGTACTCTGAGAAAACAAAATGTAGAACTCGGCAAAGATGCTTTGCAAAGGATTTTTTTTTTTTTTTTTTTTGTAAGATTTCTAAGTCTCAGAGGGCTCATGTTTTAGGTCCTTACTCTGAATTAATTTTTGTTAAAGCAAAAGTTAACTATCTAACTATAACTATATAAATTCCTTTTGAAAGATGAGATAGCCATTAGCATTATTGCAACATCTGAGTTTTTCTGCATACATCCTGAAATATGTTTAATGGAAAAAAATCACTGTCCTTAGGGAGCTTTTCTGCCGTTAAGATTTTTTTAGTCATAGAACACCTGTCTGAGGAATGATTGATTGTGCCACCCAAATCTAGTAAACAAAACCGTGCAGATTATTTAAATGAATACATCCCAAGATACATTTTTAAAAGCATTATTTTAAAAGTCTAATAGTAATGGCACACAGGTCAGGAAGTGATTTAATGCAATTAAATAGTCCCTACTGTTGTGCTTTCAGTGATATACTTCAGTCTGACAGAATTAAACCTTTTTCCTACTTCATTCATGAAAAATATTTAATAGCCAGCTTCTGTAGGTCTTCTATTATTAAGCATAGAACTTTCAGAAACATGCCACAGAACAGTAGAAACAGTTTTACTAATGTAATACAAAATTCAATTAAAATTAAATTACGCTTGTCAGATGAACAAAGATTATTGTGCAAAACATGCATCCTTCCTCATTTGCAAGATTCAGTAATTGACAATAAGATTCCTGTCTGTATAAATGAGACAATTTCTACCAAGCTTAATAATATTCAGCATCTGTTCTGAGCTAACAAACCAAGACAGTACAGGAAGATTTATAAAAATGTCCTGGTTTGAGGATATTTTTTAAAATTGCATTTAGAACAGTGTGATACTGTACTATGCGCCGCACTGACTCTTTGACCAAAATACAAGTACTGCTTGATCTGTGTTTCAGATGAAGATTCAGTTTTTGATCCTAAACTGCTTTTGTGCATGTGGAGTCTCAGGGTTGCAGTAGATTAACATTTTCTAGAGATTATCCAGGATGACCAAGGGGCCTGTGACAATCTAAAGCTACAAATACAATAACAGAGGAAGACAACGAGATTCCTTAAGGCTACAAATCTCAAACACTGCTACCATTCCAATAACCCAAGTCCTCAGCCTCTAACACAATGCAGGCATGCACCTCTCCTCATTGCAGATGAGAACCCTATTGCACTGATTGGTTGTAATCACTCCAGCATGGCTGAGATGAAGGCAAAGTGCAAAAGCAAGAGTTAGCAAACACAAGCCTTTAGTTCTTCATAATCACAGAATCATAGAATACCAGGTTGGAAGGGACCTCAAGGATCCTCTGGTCCAACGTTTCTTGGCAAAAGTACAGTCTAGACAAGATGGCCCAGCACCCTGTCCAGCTGAAGCTTAAAAGTGTCCAATGTTGGGGAACCCACCACTTCCTGAGAAGATTATTCCAATTGGCCGATTGTTCTCTTTGTGAAAAATTTTCCTTTTGTGTCCAATTGGAATCTCCCCAGGAGTAACTTGTACTCATTACTCCTGTCTTTTCCATGTGACTCCTTGTAAAAAGGTTGCCTCCATCTTCTTTGTAGCCACCCTTTAAATACTGGAACATGGTGATAAGGTCTAGCCTAAAAGCCTTCTTTTCTCAATGTATTTTTTCTTTTTCCATGTATCTTTTCATTTGCTTCAAATATCATACCAGCACTAACCTGTGTAACAGTTTGTACAAAGACCAATTTGCGTAATTACAGTCAAGGATATAGGAATTTTTTATCATTGCAGAATTTGGTAAGAAAGAAAAGAAATACCAAATGCCTCTGGCACTGCTGTATTTCACACAATCAATCACTTGGCTTTTTTTTTGTTTGTTTAAAATGTATGCATTTCCATTTTCTACTCTATCAGAAGCCTGCAAATTAAAACGGCATACACATATTTCACTCTCTTCATATCAAGGGAAAATATGTCTTCATTAGTATTGGGCAGAGGTGCCTAGAAGAGGGTTAAGGAAAACCTAGACCTGATGAGGTACAATGCTGCTCATGTAAAACATTCTATTACTAAATTACCTCAAATCACTTCAGTTTGAAGAAACCAAAGTAGTCAGAATTGTTTTTAAAGATACTACCTACATAATGTAGATTGCAGATCAGCATCCTTCAGGTAGATCACATACCAAGGAAGATAGCAAAACTCAAATTAACTTATTTCACTTACACTGTTAGATCACAGCAAAGTATTTTGAAATAAAACAGGAAGAACAGCACAACTGATGCACTGCAGAAAAAGGAGCCAGTCACTGTTATGCAAGATAGAAAGTCATTACTTAGAAGTATCAAGACAGACTAGGATCATTGTTCTATTATACTTGCCTAAAACACTAAAAATAGGTAACTAACTTTTAAAGCCACACTTTTAAGTAAGAAAAAGTGGCTACATGTCAGGAGTTGTATTTTAAATTCTTTTCAGCAAAAACAATGAAAAAAAATTTTGAACTAATTTAATTAAACATAACACTACTTGAAAATAATTCTAGCACCCAAAAAGGCAGTGAAGAAAGCTCAGTTTGATAACCAAAGCTCCATGTTCCTTTCCACACAGTAAATATTCAGACTGACAATATTTTTAATATTCAGATGGACAATGGGACTCTGAAGTCCTGTGTGCACTGTTAGAAGAAAGATAATTCACTTCTCTAGTCCAACAATGACAATGTTCTAACAAGACATTCATGCAGTTCCTAATAACAGAAAAAAACCGAAAGAGTCCCTTTTCATATGTGAGCAATAAAGACATGTGAAAGGCTCAATGAAAAGAGCAAGACAGGTTACACATCAAAATTTAAACATACTAGGCTGTACTAAAGTAGAATTAGGTATATGCTGAAAAAACCCAACCACCTTGAATATAGTCCACAATTAAAATTGACGCAACTAAAACAGAAGCCTCAGACTAATTAGAATTTTTGAGTAAGAAAATATCTTTTTTTTAAATGAACATGCAACCCAAACACCACAAAACTGAACCTTGAAGTGAAAGTGGCAATGGCTTTCCATGCCCAAAAGCTGTGCAAAAAAAAAAAAAAAACACAAACTGAGAACCCAGTTGAGGAAATTTGCTTTGGATCCTTTTATTTATGGCATGCATTTAACTGAAGAAGACTCAGTCTACTCTTTCTTTATTTTTTTTAACTGAGTAAAAGTAAGTAACTAGCATTCAGTTGGTTTAGAGGTCTGTCTTAGCCAGTATCACTAACCTCCATTAAGCCTTCACCTTTGATTCAGAAGCAGCTCAGTTTTCAAGCAAGTTCAAAGAAAAATTAAGTACAAGTATTTTTATTTTTGATTTGTAAAAAAAGGCTGAAGACATTCTGTCTTATTAATTTTTAAAAAAACAGAAGAAACTAAGCCTGTTAATAACTAACATTCTTACTTGTTTTTGTTTCTCAGTACCGTTTCTGCAATTACATGGTGCCAGCCTTTCTTGAAAAATATTGATTGAACAACTTCCTTCAATATGCCAAACTGATTCAAGGTAAAGGGAATATTGAATAAGCAGTATGAAGTTACAAATGTACCTCAGATTCCAAATTTGCAAATGCTAGTATTTCTCTTAAGTATGGATATTCCTACTGAGTTTGTAGGAATGCTTCTGTACTACTTACAACTTTGAAGACTTAGGGCGTATAGATTTATAAGCTTTCTTCAAAGATCATACTGAAGGATAAAGACACTTAATTAAAGCAGTGAAAATTATCTGAATACATTCAAAACAGGATGGTGTGAATTCCATATACAGCTAGATATGCCAAAAATCTCTGTATTATGCATCATGCTTCTAAATGCCTAACATCTGTGGCGACCAATTCCCTTTAGCCACTACCTTAACTTTCCGGAATTTTTGTACGATACTTACCTATTTTACATCTCAACTAAAGAAAACATATTTTGCACTTGTTTTGCCCTACTTACCGTGTGAATAGAGTTGGTGTCATTTGATATTTCAGGAATTTTCAGATGGAGACTTTGCAATACATATGTTGTCTGCATCTAGAATTAGGAAAGATGAGTTGAGATTACTTGGACAAGGAGTACTGAGAGCAAGATATTTTTACATTTTTAATAATTAACAAAGATTATACCAGAGGTAAAGTGCTAATATAGCAAAACAAAAAGAAAAAAAAGCTTGCAAAGTTCTAACCCCTACATTCAGTTTTACTAAAAGCACAAAGAATCATTCACGTGACTTTAAAACCATTCCTGCTTTTCTTTCCCCCCCAAACATATTTGCTGTCCTAATTCATCTCACTAAGACAGACCCAGAAAGATACTAATTAAAATGAAACCTAGACCACTTACCCTGACCTATCTGAATCAATCGCAAGACGAAACAAAGCACAATATTTAAGATAATTTGTACAACTGGTAGTTTTAACTACCATTTTAATGATTTTCTTTTCTATTTTTAAGTGAAAATATTATTTGAAAGAATTCTTAGTAGCCATTTTTCATCTCTCAACTTGAGGATAAGTTTCATATTTATGAAAGAGCCCCCAGAAAAAATGTGAAATTAGATATTTTGGCATACTGGTAAGCTAATACAGCTTTCCACAACAATTTTATCTAGCAAATAAAAAAATTCAGAAGAAGTTACCATCCCACATTACTATTTTTGCTAACATAATATTACTAACATGATTTTTAACCACAGGTGCGTGAAAAGTAGTTAACATTTTTGAACTCATTGGTATTAAACAAGTCAAACAGTTAATACCAGAGTTCTGAAAAATCCTCTTCAATTTTCATCTTCTCTGGAATCACAGCTACTGACTGCTCATGTAAGTAAACCTTACAGAACAGTTTCCCCAAAAAAAGCTTTTGTGTGTTTCCTCCAGGTAACTGCTCTGGAGGGTGGTATTCAGAGAGGAGTTAGATTCATAACATAGCCTTAGAACTGCAACTTGAAGCTAGTGCCTGGAGACCTTTCAAATGCAGCTGGGAGAAGAGGAAGTTAGGATCCTTACATTAGAAATTATGGGGTTTAGACATGTAAAATAAATCATATGGAACTACTCACTTGAAAATACACTGTCCAGTAAGGTATTAAAGCCAAAAAGACAGGGATAATCTTGACAAGAGCTTTCACATCTTCTACTTTGTCTTCTCTGAATGGGCCCCCACGAGACAGCTTGGCCATCTCAAACAGGCTTTGCTTGTGAGGTTGATGAAGTACTCCCTGGCCTTCACTTTTGAAAAGAATTTGAAACATTTAGTTAAACAACAACAAAAACTGACTGAAATGACAATCTTCTGGTACTTCTTTTAATTATAAAAAGCTCGTGCATTTTCAAAACAAGTTACTCTTAACAGCAAAACAACTAGGCCAGAATGGATCATCAACAGGTGAAAGCACAAGCTGAAAACTTCCACTATAAAGATTTCCTTATTTCCCATCCTCCCCCCCATACATAAATGACTGGCACTGCAATATGGAGAACTTAAGAAACAGTATCACAAAATATAGGGTATTCCAATTCATGAAACTATTTTGCAATCTGAATACATGAAAGCCTGTTGCATAGGAGGCACCTGACATCTCTTATCATCAGTGACTAAATTCAGCCACCAGTATTCCACATGCATCTCCTGAGAGTGGAGTAACCACTTGGAAAGCAAAAAGCCAGTAAGCATTTTGGCTACCCATCAAGCCACTTACAACATTAAATGCAGATGATAGCGTTTTTCAAATCAGAAGGCATCCCATATCTAAGCAGAAAGAAAGTTAATGCTTAAAAGCAGCATACTTGGGTTACGTCACTCTTCCAGAAACTCTGAACTGGCAAGACATAGCATTCAAGTGAAAACAGCAGACTTGACCTTGCAGCAGGGAGATGCAGTAATCTCGAAATGTGCCTCTCTCATCCCAGAACTCCCAGAAAATATCTCCTGGACTTCAATTTTCCAGTTCCAGTTCTCAAAGCAAAACTGCATATTCTAGCATATTCTCTAGGGTGACTTAGTGCCAGCTAGTTTGAACTAACTAATTCCAACTCTTAGACTGATTCACTGAATTCAGACTATACAAAAGAGCTCATTACAAACCTATTAGTTGAACGTTCCGCATGTCTCTTTCTTGAGCAACAAGAATATGCGAGAATTTTAAACATGTCTGTGAAGGCACTACCATCAGGCGGTTTTGTGATGAAGAAACTCTGACCACATAAGAAAACCATGAATGAAATCCCAATGCAAACTGTTGGGATACTATATCCAATAACAAAGCTCACATTCTGCTGAATGTATGCAATGCCTCCCAGAGAGAGAATAGCTCCCAAATTAATGCTCCAATAAAACCAATTAAAAAATCTTCTTGTGGCTTCTGGACCCCGATCTTTGACCTGGAAAAGATTAAAAACAAGTCATTAAATTTCTGAAGAAAATGAAGCCTGTTTATTAGAATTCAATCAAGTTCAATGCACTGAAGAGTTTAGGTTTAATTTAGAGTCATACTGAAATGATTTGAGTGTTTTGGGCTTAGCATGGTGTTTGATGAAATGACACCTTACCAAGCTACCCCATCATATCAGTGACCTTCTAAAAGTTCAGCATAGGGATAAAAAAAGTCATACAATACTAAACTACATAGCTTTCCCATAGAGGCTGTTATTATTTCCGCAGCATTTCTCTAGACAAAGCTTACTCAGATTAGTGTCCCATAGTCCACAAAGAAGTTGAAATAACTAATTTTTAAGTAAAAAAAAAAAAGGTAGGCTACCTAAAAATTTATGTATTAGTAGTATTGCAACAATTGCTTCTTCCAACTGCATACACATAACAGTTAACCATATTCCATTTTCTAAGCCTCAGATGACTACTTGGTAATTAAAGCACAAATTTAAATTTTAACACAGTCCTAATGCCTCTCATCAGAACATAAATTGAAGAATTGCCATTCTGACCTTTAAAAAAAAAATTGGGTTGTTTAAGGTGTCACAAGGCCCCAGTAAACATTTATCCCTCTATTAAGGCAGCACTGTTCATAGTGCTATTTTTCTGCTTGAAGCTTTCAGTGTCTCTCCAGTGAAAGTAAAGACATCCTTGGTTTATGGAATTATCCTGTACAGTTTTCACCATCACTCTTTATTATCACACCATAAGTCACCCCATGTTTTGCAATTAAATCACAGGAACCAAGCATCATTCATAAGATGTGACGTAAGAGAAATTAAGCAAGTTCAAATTTGAAATACATTAAAAAGATCAACTAGTCTGTAGAAGAATCCATAATACTAGATTTGTCATTGTTTTATGACTGAAAGGTCCTTAACAGTGACTAGCAAGTCAGTGCCATGCACCAGTCTTGCCGAGTCAGTTGGTTTTGATTTCTAATTGCAAGTTTCCCTTCCTCATTTGCCAGATCTTCAAAAGATCTGTGTTTAGTTTGCAATATGAAAAGTAAGCTGTGTCTTGAAATAAGTTTTTAACATTGTCAGTTCTTATTTATACCTTCAAGTTTCTCAGTGGTGTACAAACCCATCTGTATCATTTAACCAAGCCTAACAGAAGAAATGAACTACTCTTATGCATAGTTAATAGCATTGTTAGGCATTCAGGTAGGTCTGGTAGCAGGTCAAATACAATCTCAGAGCCTAAACCCAAGAAATTCTCCCTTTCCAGTTTCAACTTGGTAGTCATTTCCTAATTTTAACAGTCATCACCTGCAGTAGTGTATCAAGTTAGGAACTCCTTCTAAACCCCAAATGGCAGCAGGATATTAGCAAACAATTACATCATGGTAAACTTTGATAAGGATAAGAACAGAGCAAGCACAGCATGATGCTTCTATCAAGTATTATCCCAGCCTCGAACCATTAGCTCCTGAGAAACTTCCTGAATCAAGGATGGCTTCTACCTACTTAATAAATGCAGATCTCCTCTCCGTGAACTTGTCCAACCTGCCTCTGAACCCAGGTCAGCTTTTAGAATCCATTATATCCTGCAGCAAAGAGTTCCCCAGCTAATTACACAGTGGGAAGAACCACCTCCATTTGTCTGTTTTGAATCTGCCCTGTACTAGCCTCACTCATTTTACCTAGTTCCAGGAAACAACAGAAGACAGCTGAGCTTTATACCATCCCTGATCCATTTCTGCCTCGCTTCCCCCTGCCCATTATTTCTACAAACCACTGTCACATCTTCTTTCTAGCTGCTTTTTCTGAGATAGGAAGTTGTAGTCTGTTTTATGATTCCTTGCATGGAAACTACTATGTCTGTGGCCCTTCCCTGAAACTTCACTCCCCATCTCCAGGATCCTTTTTGAAACAGTGACCAAAACCGAATGCAATGCTCAAGTGACAGACACACCACACACTTAAAATGAATAGAATCCATTTTCTGCTTCCTTATCAAAGTATATAGACACACTAAAAATAACATCACAGCCACATCTGAAATGTCATTTTACTGACAAACATTAATAACTTAATAAAAATCACGCTGAACTACCTGGTAGAATATCTTGTTAAAGTGGAAGAACTGTGAAGACGTCGTACCAAAACCAGAAAACACAGTAGAGCTGAAAGGCAATCCTTGTAGTTCCTTTCAAAAATCACATCAGCTGCCCAAAATATTAGCTATATTAAATTTACAGCAGACTACTCAAAGTTTCCCCCTGCCGGCTATTACTTAAGCTGTGGGACAGCACAAAACAGATTGGTTTATTCTCTTCATAAGTAGACATTACATTTTAATGAGGGACCAAGAAGAAGAAAATCATGTTAGAACCTTATAATTTTATTTTTATCGAGGACAAGTATTTTTCACAAAACTGCAGGAATTCTCCTTTTCCCCCTTATGCTTGCATTATTTTCAATCACCCAAGCAGAAAGAAAAATCTATCACCCCCTCTGCTCAATTTCATCTGTGCTCAAGCATAGCAGCACTCTCCTTGTGGTACCAGCACCATCAACTTCATTATATTCTTAACATCCTACCAGCAACTGCAGCAGGAAAATGATGCACATAAATGGAGCAAGTATGCTGTGGGTCCTGGTTCGAATTTGTCCTGTCGTCTAAGGGTTCCACATCCCTGCACTGAAAGTCAAAATAGGTACATTTAAAAGATTTTGTCCCCATCACAACAAAACAGCTTAAAAACAGTAGGAGTGCCTAAAAGGAGAAATTTCACCTTCTTAGATTTACTGTGTTTTAGTCAAACATCTTACCCAAGGAAAATGCAAACAATAGCAGCGAAATGCCATGGCTAGAGTGCAAGGCTTCCTACCACTGAACGAAAAAACTGTAACAAAACTGTTTCAAAGGTGCCCTGACTCGAATGAACATTAGCAAGCATCTAATACACACAATTTATTTGCTCTAACATGCTGTTTTTCAAATGAGCTCAGATTCAGGCATTTTCCACAGAATTTACCAGTGTTGCACAGCTGTCACTTATTTAGATCAATTCCCACTGCATAGTCTCCAGTTCACTCTTATGCACTCTTCAAACCTCACACAGCTTTTTTCCCTACTAAATGGGATAGCACATCATCCTCAAAGAACACTACGGAAAAATCCAGTCGTGTTTCTACTTCAATAAAAATACAGGATGACCTACTGTACAAGGAGCATCCCAATTGCCCTAAATTTTCCTCTTTTAAACCATCAGGAAAATTTTAACTAAAAGAAAGAACACCTCCCCCTGCCCCAAAAAAAAACCCAAAAAACCCACTAAATAAAAAACCCACGCCAGAAAACCCCACCGACAAAGAAATGAAGGAAATGAGCAACTCTAAGCATTCTGGCCACAGCTGCTATGTTGGTCATGGGCCACGTGCCAACACTGCCTACGTTCAGGTGGGTCTCTAAAGAGGAAGTAAAATAATCTTGCTACTTTCAAGACATCTAACAGAACATTTTACAAAAGAAAATCTAACCTAACACTTGATTTTTCTACAGTCCGAAAGGTGTTTTTCGTGATATATATGATAACTATCCTTTGCATATAGTTAATCCAAATGCAGAAAGAAAAGCAGTGACATTCTGGGTTTTATAACTGGAACCTACACAGCACTGGACTTCAAAATAGTAAAGGAATAGTTCTCAATATCAAAGTTTCTAATACAAAACCCATATCAGACTGATTATGGTCAGATGAGATATAATTATGACCACAGTTTTAATGAATCCTGAGTGCCTGGAACACTATGTTATGGGAATTGTGTAATCATTAGGTTATTTACAGCCACTTTCAGCAGAGGATACATCAGCTGTGTAACTCTGTACTGCACTTCTCTAAACTCATTTAGGATATAAGGTTTAAACATCTTATAATCAGAACAAAATTTTAAATGCAACTAAAACAAAAAAAAAAGAGTGAAAGACTAAATAGATCTTTAGTTACACCTGATGAAAAGTCATTACACATATCTGAGTGACAGCAACTTCCACAGCACAGCTGTCCCTAAGGTTAATAATTAGACCTCATTCTGACTCAGAAGAAAGATGATCACTTGGAGAATTACCCCTCCCCTGGATTTTTCAACACCAACATCTTTCTTAGGACATGATCCAGATACTAACCAAAGCAGTTCGCACAGCTTGAAACCAAAAATATTACAAAGCTCAAATATTAGGATTCAATTAGATTCCCTTGATTTATATGTAAAGAGACAGGAATCTATACAAGCATCATTGCTTCTCCATAGTTCCTGTGTTTAGATGCTTTGCTTTGTCTCTAAGTAATTTCCTAGATCTGTACAGCTAGGTCAGTTTCAAAGAAATCATTACTGACAGGATTTCTTACTTTTGCCACAGCTGGTGCCTATCTGGTGCCTACCCTTCCACTGTGACATCTGATTTCTGACATCATCTACTAATGATCTCAAGTATTTCCTAAACTCCAACGTTTCAGAGTTCCAGTATGTCATAATCTTCCTCTCTTCCTCTTCACATCATGACCGACCCAAAGCTATGACCTCCTATTTGACTCACATAAAAGGAAAAAGATTATTTAAAAGTTACTGACATTAGCAGTCTTCATTTGTTCCTGCAATCAACTGACAGTCACAAGTGACAAATGTAACAAAAAACCCCAAACTTATCCCAGCCAACTATGTGAGCAGCCACACAACAGAGCAAAGATGAAAATGTAGAAGCTTGCGCTTCTCCTTAGCCTACAAAAGAAAGCACAATGACAACAGTTTTCCATAGATTTCCGTAAATTTTCCAAATTTACCCTTACAGAATTCTGACCTTCTAATCCATCACTACAGACACCAGTTATTCTCTGAGAAAATCTGGAGAGAGCTCAGTAACAGAGCTATACAATAGTACTCAGTTGCTACATAATTTCAAATTTTTAAACTAAAATTTGGCCAATCCACATTTCAAGTCTGCTTCCTCTCACTGGTGTCATATCTATTCTGTTTCTGTTGGAAACAGAAACAAATTAGTACTGCCAATGTGAATGCCGCAACTTTAGTTTTCAAACTGTTATCTGCAGAGTCTTAGACATCCATGGTCTCCTGAGAAGTTCAACAGCAACAAAAAAGTAACCTGCTGTTAGTGATCTTCAATTCTTTATACATGGTCCCCCATCCTTCCCCAGAGGCTGGAAAATCTAAGTTCTACAAATAAATAAAAAAGGTTGAAAATCACTCTGAAGCTATCTTTACACCAGCAATTTCCAATAGTGTCCTGCCTCTGGCAATGCTACTGTAACAATGGTTTTAATATAGCTAGAAGATTTATGGCAGGTTAGGGACTGATGCATTTAATGATGGTAGAGACAATTCTGAAAGAAGATATACTGCGGGTTAAATCCAGCATCTCTAGCCACCCAAAACAAATTCATCTATAATTACAATGATTATAGCTGATACTAGATCAGTAGTCTACTATTAATGTTGGCTTCAATGTTGAAGCTAAAGTAGCTTTCACAATAATGAGGGATAGTCATATTGTTTCCTAACTATAGAAAGTCACAAACTGCTACATAGAACAGGAAGTGACTGCAAAACACTCACAGTTAAAAGGGGAACTGGAAAGTGCCGGGTTATACATATCACATGATTATAAACACTATTCTGAGAACCATCAGTTCAGATTTAGACTTCTACGATGGATCAATCTGCAACTTCTAGAAAAATGTCTCTTATTTATAAACACAGTTAAGTAAAGCTGGTCTATATCTAGTTCGCAGTAACTTTTTTTGCTAAGTTGACTGGCAAAAATCACTTTATACTAAGTCTACTTAGTCACTTGTAGCAGCACTTTTAAAAGCATCCATTTAACAGAAATTAAGAAACTATATCTTTTTTAACTTCAGAGGAAAATAAGTATTAGAATTTAGTTTCCACAAAATGATTCTTTTCTTCTAAACTAAATAAAAAAACAAACCCTCGTTATATTTGGGTTCTCCACCCAAATTGTAGATCATCTGTTAAAAACTAAAAATTTACAGGGAAATTTTTCAGAGATTTGCAATGAAATGTAATTAACCATATCTGAAAGGTGGCTCATGTCAGCTAAAGTGCACGATATACAATTCGTATTTTCCTTTGTTTGGTATTCAAGGGAAA